ATTCCTTGTGTATATTTTATACTTGGTCATTAAAGTATTTGTATTGTATTGTATTGTATTAAATGGCAAGTCCATAAAGCAGGATCAGAAACCATTCAAATACCATTCATTCGAGAACCGGAACTCTCATCCTCTGAATGTTCCGGAAAGTCTCATTCAAACAGCCCTGCAGACAGTCATGCATGTAATGCAGCTATCTGCAGGGACACGCTATATATGTGTTATCGGTTGGTTGGTTGGTTTGCACTAGGCATTCATATGAGCCTAGTGCTGGGCTATGTTAAAATCTAGCTTGTATACAAGCTACAAGCTTGTATACAAGCTATATTGTACAGAATACTTTTTCTATTGCAGCAAGGGAAAAGAAAATGAGAGCTACTTATCTTCTATTTGGTTCAGCCTTCTCCAAGAAAAGGATTTGTCTTCTACCAGAAAATTGTGACAAGCTGGATGCCTTACTTGTATTATGTATTATGATTTACATTTTAGAGTCTGAACTTCATATTGATATCAAATACCCTTTTCTTCCTATCCTCATTTTTCTCTCCACCATAGGTATGCCAGGTAACCATGAAACATTTTATACTGTTTTAATGTATATAAAAAAGCAATATGATGATAAAATGTTCAAATGTAAATGTAGTGTATATTGTATTCTTCTCATTTTATAGTATATAACACAATGGATAAGATGGAAAGCTGAGATTTTAATTTTTTAAAAAATTGCCTGACAGAAAATCATTCTTTGATTATGGAAATACATTTACCAACTAACATTTATTGTATGTTGGTGAAGGCCACCAATACCTCAATCAGAAAAAGAATCTTATTCTTTATCAGATTCCAAATGATTGTTAAAGTTTGACAGTATGTCCTGAAGTAAACTATTGAATTATGAAAACAGACATGAAAATCCTCTGGTTGCTCTTAGAGAGCCAGAATTGCATTTGAATAACCAAACAAGGAGTTTTTTTTAAAGCAGATCTTTATTTCTTTCAGGCTACAGAAGAATGTAAATCAGGGTAGTAAACATTTCTATGTTCTAGAACAGGCAATCAAGCTTTTGTGGACTTGTTAGCAAAGGTGGATAAACCCATTTTTCCAAAATGCATGAGTAAGTTTGTTTTGAAACCATTGTCTCATTGTAAAGAAATAATCTCATTTTCTCTTGCTATCAGAATCAGAACACATTATAGAATTCAAGGATAATATTTTTAACGAATGCAAATGGTCAGTCCTGATATACAAGCACAGACAGCTATGCCTGCAAAATAAACTGAACTACAATTTCCATAACAGGCTTTGGGTTATTCTGGCTGTGGCTTATGGGTCTTATAGCTGAAGGACATCAAATTTCCTGTTGCTGAAATATTTTAACATAAATAAAAAATCAGTAGGTACAAAAAATTAAAAAAAATTAATGTGGTATGTTCCTAATTTTATTTATAACTTACATGAAAAGTTTAATCATTTTTCAGACAGGAAAAATATATTCACCTGCATCCAAAGGAAACATTAAAAAACATTCATATTGGCTCATACCTTTATTAAGCTATGTTTATTTGCATAGAAAAATATTTACTATAGGCATTAACTATCACAGAGAAAATGTTTTAATTCAGTTTGAAAAAGATAGCTTAATAAACTTTTCTGTGCTTATTGCAACAATACAAGAATACCAGATACTCCTGTTTAATAAAATATGTAAAAGTAATTGTGAAAACAAGAACAGGCTACAAAACAGATTTTTCTGTTTACTTTACATCATAGAATTATATTACAATATTTTGTCCTACATTTTTTGAACATTTTAATGCTGCAGCTAGGTTTAAATATTTCTGCTTCAAAGCATTTTGCAATTTTATGGGTTCTGCCTGCTTTCATCACAACCTTGTTGTCATATAGTTGTTCTGAATAATCGTTTCTTCCTTTATAACGCTGATGTCCTGCTTACTGTTTAGCAAATCACCTTCTCTGGGAAAATCTGAGTCCTGCACCACCACCGTGGAATTCCTGTCAGGGGGAGCAACTTTCTTATTCAGCACAGCGTCCAAAGTCTCATTTCTAACTGGCTGATCACTGTGAACTGTGTACTTTGCACTGAAACCCTGTTTGTTTAACTCAGAGTTCACAGCCAATGATTTATCTCCCAGTTCAATTACTTTCTTGTGTTCTTCTGCTTGCTGACGGGAAATTTCTTCAGAAATTGAATAAATTTTATTTGTACTATGCTCAGTAGAGTTGTTTTTTGATTGTCTGTGAAATAACCTAAACTTCTTTACATCAGCCACAAAGTTTACTTTCTTTTGTTTTTCCTTGGTGGACTCGATTGCCATCATTGCTGACCCATTGCTCTGGCTGTGTGCTTCAGAAGCTCTTGCCACTACTCTTGGGTGAATCATTGTGGTTATTTCAAAAAGACTAAGGTTTTTCTTCATGATTTTTTCATTTCCTCCATTTTCACTTCCTTCATCGGATTCTGTCAAGGAGGAGCCTTCTGTGCTAGTTTTGGAGTGTTGCAAGTTAGACAGTTTGTTTCCTTTTAAAAGACCCAAGACTTCAAAACGAAAACTGGAAATATCTTGCTTTAATTCCTAAAGAAGTAGAAGAAAATTAATGATACATGCAACTTAAAAAAACTATGTCAGAAAAAGGGTTTATTTGATTTGAAATATTAATTAATTAATATTTATTAATAAGTAACATTATACATTAATTAATGAATTCATTTTGAACTATGTGCTATGTAAATGTCATACATTAAATAAGCCTCAATTCAGCTTAATCCTAACTCCAAATTCAGCCTAGTGCCAATACAAATATTTATCTTAACCCAGCATTCTCTCCCAATGGTCATGTACCATTTATTTATTTATTTATTTACTTACTTACTTACTTACTTACTTACTTTATTACCATATACTATTATACTACTATCCATAAAAATTAACCTAATCCTCAGTTTTCATCTATCAGCTCAAAAAAAACCCTAAGCCTAACTCCTACTTCACTCTAACACTGCAGGAATATTTATTCTAAATGTTACCAAGCCAGCAGTCCTAACTATAACATAAAACTGACTACAGGTAGTCCTCAACTTATAACCACATTTGGGACCAGAATTTCCATCACTAAGCAATGTGGTCATAAAGCAAGTGTCAGAACCTGCATCACCCAACTGTTGTTGTTTTCCATTGTATTGCATTCGTTGGGAGTTGGATTGATTTGTTTCTGCCACTTGTAACTAAGGAAGGGGGGTGGCTGTTAATGGTTGTAAGGGGAGTTGGGAAGCAG